AGTGCCCCCCACCATCCGCGTGAGTGTCCCAGTACAAACCAGTATGGACCAGTAACAGCCTGGGACCCCCCCGATCTCCCCGGCTCTCCCATCCCTGGCCGGGGGGGCTCAGCACCCTCTCTCCCAGCCCCACGGCAGCATCCCCGTGAGCCCCCCAGCTCAGACCAGTGCTGACCAGTCCAAACCAGTGCTGACCAGTGCAAACCGGTCCCGCAGGTGAACAACTACCGGGGCCCGGGGCGCGTGCGGGTGTCGCTGGTGACCAAGGACCCCCCGCACCGCCCGCACCCCCACGAGCTGGTGGGCAAGGACTGCCGGGACGGCTTCTACGAGGCCGAGCTGAGCCCCGAGCGCAGCGTGCACAGGTGGGACCCCAACCCGGATGTCCCCCCCAAAAACCGGGACAGCCCCGAAATCGGGATGGGACCCCGAAATCGGGACAGCCCCGAAATCCGGGACGGGAACCCAGACCGGGACGGGACCCCGAAATCGGGATATCACCCAAAAACTGGAACATCCCCCGCCAAAAACTGGGATATCCCTAAAACCTGAAATTTGGGACAGCCCCAAAATCTGGGACAACCCCAAAATCCGGGACAACTGTGAAATCCGGGATATCCTCCCCCAAAAACTGGGACATCCCCAAAAACCGGGGAGAACCCCAAAATCCGGGGACAGCCCCGAAATCCAGGATATCCCCCAAAAACTGGGATATCCCCCAAAAAAACGGGATATCCCCCCCCCAAAAACTGGGACAGCCCCAAAACCCGGGTCAGCCCCCCAAAAACTGGGGACATCCCCCAAATACTGGGGACGTCCCCCAGGCTGGGGGCACACCCCAAAACTGGGACGTCCCCCAAAATCAGGGACACCCCCAAAACCGGGAGACACCCCCACGGGGCGGTGGGAGCACCCAAAATTTGGGAACCCCCCCAGAAGAGCAGGTGGTATCTCCCAAAATACTGGGGATCTCCCTCCGGGGCGGGTGGGACCACCCAAAAACGGGGGGGGACGCCCAAAATACGGGACCCTGCCAGGAGTCCTGGGAACCCCCAAAATTCGGGATCCCTGCCCCGGAGTGTTCGGGGGGATCCCGAAATCCAGGTGGAGCCCTGAGCCAGCCCAGTTTTGGGGGCAGTTTCCAGAATTTGGGGATCCAGTGTGTGAAGAAGCGGGAGCTGGAGGCGGCCGTGGCCGAGCGGATCCGCACCAACAACAA